TTTTTTTTCTCTTTTTTTTTTTTTTTTTTTTTGGGTTGTTGAAATGATGAATATCCAGTGAGGCTTTGTCAGATTCCATTACATATCTTTCTCGTAATAGTTCTGTGAATCTGGGAAAAAAAATCCGTTTATTTTTGCTGGAAAAGGAAAAAGGAAAAATGTATTAGATATTTTGATGTAGGGCTGCCGGCAATGTTAAGGTGAGTGCGTCCCTATGAAACTATAGGTGAGGATTTTTTTTTTAAAATTTTCAGTATTCTGTTGCTATGTAAATTTCATTAATCCGTTCATTGAGATGTGATTTTATATGAGAATTTTTTACTATAGTAAAAAAGTTAGATGTGATTATTTATGAGAATTTTTTATTATAAAAAAACTCAAATCAGCGAAGTGAACAGGCCCCAGTATTCAGTATTTTTTCCCTTTTTTTTTCTTTGATCAACTAATATTCAACCTTTATTATGACGTGTCAAAAACATCTTACTGGATCAAATTTGTCCAGTTAAAGGAATTAATAAAGTACTTGCACTAAATATAGGAAATAAAATTTTCTTACAAAAAATTCTCATATTATTGACGTATTTTCACCGTTAAATTTAATTAAGTGATAATTGTTTCTTTTATATAACATAAACTTGTTCTCTTATATTGAGTTATGATTTAAATTATGTATACGAGAAAAAAATATTGTAATAAAAAAAATTAAATTTAAATTTTTATAAAAAAATATATTATAATAATATGATTTTAATCATTGAAGGTGTTTAGTATTAGAATTCATATCATGATTCGAATCATAATTCATGACTTGTTATAATATTTTTTTTAAAAAAAATATATATAAATTAAAAATAATTTTAAATCATAATTTTAAATTTATGAACTAAATGTTCACTAAATAAACGTATCCTGAGAGGTCTTAGACCGTGATAAACATAAATAAATAAAAAAGTACAAGTGATATTTTTAAGATTTTTCCCATTTTCTTGAGGATGAGAATATTTTTCCACTTCATTAACGTGACAAGCTCGTACTTCAAAGTCCATCGAAATGGGTGCTGTTTTCTAAAAACAAAGAAAAAAAGAAATGATAAGCGGTGACGTCTTTTTCAGACAAACAAACAAAAGGATATACATAAATACATGTAGTCAAAGCAACATGGTAAGGATGTGGCGTAAAGAAGGGGAATGGTCCTGATTCGGATGCTCCAATAAAGCATAATATATATTTTTTTCTTTTTTGGTCCTAACCTCAAAATGTGAATAATTTTTTGTTTTGACGAAGATCTTTCGCAACTTATCCAACATAAATTGTGTGTCCAAAAAGAGCACCTAAATCCCTCAAAAAAAAAAAAAAAAAACTGAAACGACGCATCGTTTATTCCAGAGTATTAAAAATTTAAAAGAGAATTCGTTTTAGTTTGCAGTAAATAATTACAAGCTGTATTTGTAAATTAAATGCTATTTTCTTATATTATATTTGCTATTTCCATTTTTCCTACACATGCACAACGTGTCTTTACACTTTTTAAAAAAAATAAAAAAATCGTGTCGTTTCTCATTACAGTTAAATATTTTGCCTGCATAAACAGTACATATATTTTTTTTAGAAAAAAAAAAAGAGTATCATATATTCAACTAGATAAAAGATACAAATATCAAAGTGAATGATCCCGAGACACGCATATAAACACGCATGTGCAGATCATATGCCTCTCTTTTTCAATAAAAAGACACAAATACCCTTAAATTTCACACAATAACAAATTTTAAAAAAACTATAATTAAAATCAAATCTCTCACACCAAAGCATGAAGTTCTCTTACACCACCGCCGCAATTGCCATCCCCTCACTCTCCGGTGAAATCACTACTATCCCCATCCCCACCACAACCCCAGATCTGTAACGCCTCCACCCTGCAACCAATGATTCAACGTCGTCTCGCCGCGACCACCCTTGTGGACCAAGCAAACATCGTCGCAATTCTGACCACCATTCGACCCCAATTTCAAGAGCGAGAACCACAGTAGAGGGCATTATCCGGTGTGGCCAACTTGGTTTCGTTTGTAGCTTTTGAATTGAAACCCTTGATATATGGGTTTCGTTGGTAGCTTTTGGATTGAGAGAAGTGTTCATATGATTTTTGATCTGATATGAGAGTTTAGTTTTTTTTTTTTTTTTTTTTTTAGATTTATTTTGATGTCTATCAGTTATATTGTTATGATCTCATATGGATTTAGAGTGTTTTTTTTTTTCTTAATATTTGTCTTATTTTGGATCATTTATTCTTATTTTGCTTTGTTTTGTTTTGAACTGATATGAGTATTTGATATGATTCTTAACGATTTTTGAGTTGTTGATGTATTTTTAGGAAGATTTTGTTGTGCGTCTGGTGGTACACCAGTTAAATTTTTGTAACCGTTAAATATATATTTTGATTTTTATGTAATTTTTGTAGATTTAATGGATATAAAATTTAAGACATTGACATTTTGACGAATTAGAGAAGTTTTTTTTTTATATTTTTTTATTTTGTTTATGTTAAATTATAAATTATTGTTGTTTTACTAATTTATTTTAATTTTGTTTTTGTTAAATTATAAATTATTGTTGTTTTATTAATATATTCTATTATATTGGACTATATTCTTTGCATGCGATGTATTCCGTTGAGTTTTTGACATATTTGGATGAAGTCCATCAATTGTCAATAATTGAAGAATTGAGGGGTTGTTTTGTTAAAATTAAAAAAATAAGATTAAAGTGTCACTTACTAAATAGTTGAGGGATCACAGGTGCAAATTATTCATAAACTAAATGTCGTGTTTTGTCCTGAATGTAACGACCTGACGTTTTGTGTTTGAATGTGACATGTCGTTTTACAACATATAGAGAAGCTACATGTCGGTTGAAAGTACATTATTAAAAAAGAAAAAGTCTTTGAATACAAGAGTCTATTTAGTTCACTCATTTGAGTTTTTAATTTGAGTTAAAATGTAATTTTATATGAAAATTTTTTACTATAGTAAAAAAGTTAAATATGATTGTTTCTAAGAGTTTTAATAAAAATCAAATTTTAAACTCAAATCGGTAAAATCAACGGACCATAAAAGATAAAGTGGATGTTTAGTTCATGAATTCAGAATCATTTTTAATTTATGTGTATTTTTTATAAGAAAAAATACTATAACAAATCACGAATCATAATTTAAACTATAACATGAATTCTCATACCAAACACTCCAAAAGAGATTCCGCAGGGGACGTAGTTTGCCCTATCGGCAGGGGACGAACTTTGACCGCTTGAGGAAAATCTATGGTGAAGACTACCAAACAATAATAAAACCTCACGCGCATGATTATTTCTACATTTATAAATAAATAAAAAAATCAGAGTACAAAACTTAATAAAGAAAATCAGAGAACAAAAAAAAAAACCACAAACGCCGACCAGGCTACTGGTGGCTACCGCACCCCACCACCGCGCCGGACCTCGCCCCCTGCACCCTCACCGTCGCCGGATATCACCCTCGGCGACCCTTTGGTCGTGAAACGAACTGAGCTCAGCCGCGAACCTCTGAGTGGACGGAGCTCGGATGGGTCGCGAATCACGTCGCTAGATTTGAGATTGCCACCCAGGCGCTGTCGAAGTTGAAGAAGAAACTTGCTAATTTGGTCCTTCGAGTGCTCAAAAAGATCGATCCTCCCCCATAGCAGCCGGCGAGCCTACCAGTGGAGCTCCATCGCATTCGATCCTCGCTTTCGAAAACTCGATCCCTGCGTGTCACCGTCGTCGGATCTCGCTCGCTGCTGAAAAATGTGAATACCGATGTCCGTACATCCAACATCATTTTCGCCATTAACATTGATGCTAGTTTGGTCGAAGACGCCATTAGCGTGAAGGTTGAGAAAATGGGAAAAACAATTTAAAACTTCCTTTAATTTCAACGATTTCTGATTTTATTTTGTGTTGTTGCTGTAGTTGGGTAATTTTGTACATTGTGGCCCCAAATGTATCTGAGTTTGTGGTGGGTCAATTTGCTATGTGGTAATTAGCTTTGAGGAAAAAATTATATGCTTTGCTGCATCTGGGTATGGCTGATTTTTGTGGCTGAATCCTTATCTGAATGTTGTTTGTTTGATTTTTTATTATTATTTTTAGTTTTATTTTTATTTTTTTACTGAGCAGAACCCATTCTCGACATTGTGGATGGAGGGGCATCAGAGGCGGACGCGGAGTTCACCGGATTCGCTGATTGGAAAGTGCTCAATCCGCTATCTGATTTAAAATCTTCGGATTGAGATTTTCTCAATCTGTGTCTGATTCAAAACCATTTTCAATCCAAAATTTCGCGGATCAATCGGATTCACAGATTCCGTAGACACAAGAAAGTACACCCCTACCACCATGGAATTTCCCTCAAGATAAAGCCGCTGTGTGTGTGTTTTTTTTTTTTTTTTTTTGTTGCTATTTTTGTCTTAAAAAGCTACAATTTCGGTATCTCTTTATCACACGCTCCTCGTGGTTGCAAAACGAAGGCATCGTTTTTCTTTTCATAAAACGACATGTCATCTTTTCCATTAACTTTGTGGTTTCTTCGTTCTTGTAGTTTGTCTTATGAAACGCATTGCATTTAAAATGTCGTTAATGAAACTAACGTATTATTTTTTTCGTTTATGAAACAACTTATTATTTTGTTTTGTTGGATAAGATTTCATTCGGATATTATCAGATCCTGTATAAAGGAAATGTCGTTGTTCTGCCACTGAACGTCAAGATGTTTTATTGCTTTTATGCGATATGTCGTTTATGAATGTTTGAAAAAGTTTGTTACTTCTCTTAATCCACAAAATGCCCATCATTTTTTCTTTTACGAATTTGATTAGCTTGTTAAGCATATAATAGTTGCGTCGTTTTGTAATCATGAAACGA